AGAACTCCCAGGCTTCGGGGATTTCTTCTTCCCAGGCTTGCAGCTCTTAGTTTGGCCGAATGTATTGGTCATGTATTGCCGTGTAACAGATTACTCCACAATGTAAAACAACAAACACATATTGTCTGCCACAGTTTCTGAAGGTCAGGATTCCGTAAATGGCTTAGGTGGGTGGTTGTGGCTCAGGAATTCTCTCCAGGTTGTAGTCTAGCCGTCAGTCAGAACGTCAGTCATCTGAAGTTTAGACTGGGGTGAAGGATCCACTTTTAGGCTCACTCAAGAGGCTTTTGGCAAGAGACCCCAGACCTTCTCTACTTGGTCTTCTCCATAGGGCTGCTCAATGACATGGCAGCTGGCTTATCCAAAGTGAGTGATCATAAAGACAGACAGGCAGACAGACAAACATGGTGGCTGCAGTGCTTTTTGTAACCTAATCCTGGAAGTAAAAACCATGACTTCTGTTGGCCCCATTGACCAACCTAGGTACTCTGTGGAAGGTGACCACTCGAAGATGTGACTAACAGAAGGTGAGGTCATTGGGACCACATTGGAGGTTGGTTACCGCCCCTGCCCTGTCTTTTTGCACAGATATGTTGTTTTTCCAGCTAGCCCAGAGATGGTTAAAGTTCAGAGACTGGTCTCATCCACTGCCATTGCTCCAATACTTAATTCAAAGTGCTTTCCATGGAGCTGCCTAGTTTCTCTTCACGATAACCTGTTGGGCTTTTAAAAACCAAATTAATTAAAACAGACGCAGAGAACTAAGGCCCCGAGATATTAGTTATTTAAGTCAGTCAGCTACTATCTGACAAAGTTCGTGAATTCATTCCCAGGTCTTTCTGATCTAAAACCTATGGTGGTGGTGTTGTTGTTGTTTTCATTGTACAAATGATTTGCCGATTATGACTTTTGTTGAATATTTGCTACAACCTGCTTTCCTGTCTGTCAGCTTTGGTTATAATGAAGAGGAACAATTTGGGAGCACCCCGTGATGCAGGAAGTATTTGTGCAAAGCAATTCCAAGATAGGCAAAGTTTCCAAGAGATTGTCCTCACCAACTGAAATCTCATCTTCTGCGCTTTCGTCTGTCCAGCTAGTGTTTAGGCAAAGCCTAAACTGGTTTATTTGCCTCTTCTACTGAACAAGGGAACTTCAGAGGCCCTTGTAAGTGCCCTGTTTCAAAAAGTCTTTCATGCATAGTCATCCCAGGAAGTGTCACCTGTTACCTTCCTCTGCGGGACACAGGACACTGCCCATCACAAAACCTTGCTCATGTGTTTCAAATGGAATGAGAACAGACTCTTGGTTTTCTAGGTTTGGTGGGATTAAGTCATCATTTAAATTGGAGTATCTCCTGATATATCGTCCTAGATACCATGACTCAGTTCACAGAGAGCCTGGTGTGATTGTAGGGTCGGGGAAAGGGAAGAAAAGAAAAGACAAAAGGGAAAAAGGGAAAAGGAAAGTTCTCCCTGTACCTTCGAACACTGAGTTATGGTGGTTGAGTTAAAGGAGCTTTGATTTCCTTTTACATCTTGAGCAAAACTCTGGCCCCCATAGTTGGCTTTCAAAATGTGGAATGAGTACAAGCGTTTCTAATTTCAGTCGTTCTTCCTTTATTCTCTGCAAAAAGGGGAACACGGCAGGTGGCTTTCTAAAACTTGAACACCTCGAGTTTTGTGTTCCCACTCATGATCGTCTTTTATGTCTACAGGGGACATTTAGACTTATTCTAGTAGAGGTTCTTTGGGTCTTTGACTTACTGGCTAAAGATATATATATATTTTTTTACGTTCTTGATTTAGGTATGTCTTCCACCTCTTAGGTCTGGAAAAGTTTTGAGTATTGTTTTTTCAAGCTCTTTTCCTCTACATGGGTATGCTTTTCATTGTTGTTGTTGTTTTTCCCATCACGGTCACGGTCATAGAGTGATTTAATATTATGTATCTTGCCACAGGGCGTTTCCCCACAGCCGTGGAATTTCTTGAATCTCTTTAAAGAGTCCAAAAACACTGGTGGGAAGAGAGGATGGGAAAGGGATTTGAAAAACAATTGGGAATGAGCTTCCTCAGATACTTTTGTACTTTGAGGTGGTAATAAGTTGTTTTCTACATAGATTAACATTCTCTCTCTTCTTTTAAATGGTTATTTACTTTTGAGAGAGAGATAGCACGAGTGGCGTGGCGGTGGTGCAGAGAAGGGGGCGTGACTGAGAATCTGAAGCCGACTTATGCTGACGGCTGAGAGCCTGATGTGGGGTTTGAACTCATGAACCGTGAGATCATGACCTGAGCCAAAGTTGGACATTCAACTGACTGAGCCATCGAGGTACCCTAGATTGACATTCTTTTGAGCACCTGTACTCTGAGTCAAATTCTTTTCTCTGGAGCTCTGAGGAAGTTCCCATTCTGATGATGGTAGCATTTTCTCTCACTATCTTATTTCTGTGTTTGTATATATCTAGATTTATCTGCAAGTAATACTTAAATATTTATGTGGAGATATACCTGCAAGCACGAAATATTTCCCGAAATGTCCATATTAATTTGCAGTCCCTTCCTCCCTCCCCCCAGTATAAATGGGCATTTAAAACTTCCGGGGAGGGGGCGCCTGGGTGGCTTAGTCGGTTAAGCGTCCGACTTTCGCTTAGGTCATGATCTCGCGGTTCGTGGGTTCGAGGCCCGCGTCGGGCCCTGTGCTGACTGCCAGCTCAGAGCCTGGAGCCTGTTTCAGTCTGTGACTCCCTCTCTCTCTGACCCTCCCCTGCTCACGCTGTCTCTCTCTCTCTCTCTCTCCTAGAAAAAAAAAAAAAAAAAGAAACTTCCGGGGAGCAATTAGTAGTCCTTGAGAGAAGTTACCTGGTCAGGTAGCTTTGGACAGGTTAGGTACATTTTATGGGACCTACCGAGACATAATTCCTGGGAATTCCGCAAGTAAGACATGTCCACCAGAAAGAAAACACAGTTTGGAGCAGGAAGAAGAGCATCCCTTTTGACAGGATTTCCTTAGCACCCAAGGGGCTGCTTTGCTCCTGGAGGGAAAGTACACAAACCCGGAGAGAATATATACCAAAGGAATTAAGTGACCTGGCATATTGGTCTCATTACCTTCTGACATGTATATTCTCACTTATAATAAAGGTACTGGCAATCGTAATTATTAGTATGTAAAGCCATTAGCCATTTGTCCAGCACTACATGGGTTCCATCTTTGGCTTCACAGCATCCACACCCCCAAGTCCACTCCCTCACTGCCATGAGGAAGTGAGTCCTGTTCATTTTGTAAAGAAAGAGGGTCGTAGTAGCTCAGTGACTAAATGGCATACCTAGCTCAAACTGGGAAAACAGAATTTCAACTCCAAGCCTTCTTTTATCGCCCAAGAACCCAAGCCTTTTTGACTTGTAATTTAGTACACTTGCCTGCCTCTGTCCCTCACGTAACTGTGCATTCCCCAGCTTGACTTCGTGAAAGGGGAATCATATGTTTTTGGTTCTATTATTGCTGCTTTCTTTTATTCCTGCTCCCATATTTCATGAGGTCAAGGCCAGAGATGCTTTTGCGTTTCTAGTTTCCATTCCGTTCTCAGAATATGACAGACATTGACAGACACTGGAAATCATGGTCGTTGGAACTATGCCCACAGGTTCTTTGACACTCCCTTCAGAAGACGGAGCCCATTCTCCTTGGATGTGGGTTGGCCTTCGTGACCCATTTCTAACAAGTGGAAAAAAGTAAAGATTGACAATGTGTATCTTTAAAGACTAGATCATAAAAGACACTGTGGCTTCCTCCTTGCTCTCTCTACTGGATCACTCACACTGAGGGAAGTTAGCTGCCCTGTAATGAGGACACTTAGGATGTCCTATGTAGAAGCCCATGGTGTGAGAAACCGAGGCCTCTGGTCAAGAACTTGGAAATGGATTATTTAGCCCTGATCAAGCCTTCAGGTAATTACTTACCAGTCGCCTCAAGAAAGACCCTATAGGAGAAACAGCCAGCCCCACCAGTGCCTAAATTCCCACCTTACAGAAACTGAAAGATAAGAAATGCTTGTTTTAAGTCCTGGGTGTTCTGTTATGTAACAATGCACACACTAACGTAGAAATGACAGGATACAAACCCAAAAGAGCTCCAGGCCTACGATACTTCTGGTCATTAATGTTAATGACTCAGTGATACCGACTGTGATTTATAGACACCAGCTATTTCTCCGTTGTTTTCTTCCGACTCTGAAATAGGTACAAGGGTTTGGAGTGTTTCCCAAATTAGATAATCACCTGGGGATCATTTAAAGCCCACGATTGAAGGCCCCACACAGACCCATGAAGTGGAACATCCGAAGGATGGGGTTTTGGAATTTCTATTTTCAAAAAAACCCTTTAGAGATGCTTCTGATGCAGACGGCCCGAGCTTGTCCGAGGAGTACTACTTGGGAACCACTGAACTCGAACACTTTTCTCTTATTTCGGTTCTGATCGTGAAGATTTAATTTCGTTTAGTTCTATCGTAGGATCGTTCTCTCGTAGCATCTTCCGCAGTAGGGGAGTATGCCTTGGGATGAAGAACTGTTGTCAGATCTGCAGCTAGACGCCCCCTTCAAGCCCCATTTTGTGCTTGGCACGGAGCCCACGTCAGACCAGGGACTCAGGGACTGTCCTTTCAGGCATTGCATGGGACCAAGAAGAGAGAAGAGAGGTTCCAGTGCAAATGTTGAGTCTACTGCCTGGTATTATTCTCAAGATTAGGCATGTTTTCTGTCTGAGTGTCTCCCCATGTATACAGATTTCAGGAGGCTCCTTTAGAAAAGGAAGGAGCTTAGAGAGTTGGTAGCCACGGTGAGCACTCTGGGGGAACTCATTGGCCTTCAGAAATGAAGGAAGAAGTCCCAGTCCCATCAGTAGATGCTGACAGAGTTCTGGCACAAGCAGAGCGTATTTTAAAGACGAGTTTTTAGTTCCTCAGTGAAATATTTTGATCCTAATATAAAGTTACTTCTTCATCCAACATGGACACTCGTGGGAGGTCGCTCTCCCTAGCACCGTCCAGGGGCCACAGAGGTGCATGGGGCTCTGCCCTGTGACATACAGTCCTTTTCCGCAATGGTGGACTTAGGGCTGAGTCTGGAGCCTGTACCCGTATATTCTTATGGCTTCTTAAGAGTCCCGTGTACGATGGCTGAAGAGATAAATCACACAGACAACATCTAGCATATGAAAAGGCAAATTTTTAGTAAGCTCCTATATAGGTCTCTGATCTTCAAAAAACAACAAACAAGAAACAAAATTAGTTTGTCAGACACTGTGACTAAACACTGGGTATAGCTTCAGTGATGTATACCATCTGGATGTCTCTGTCAAGTGTCAGTGTTTGTTGTGTGATCTGCATTTTTTTTTTAATTTTTTTATTCTAGGAGAGAGAGAGACAGCGTGAGCAGGGGAGGGTCAGGGAGAGAGGGAGTTACAGAATCTGAAACAGGCTCCGGGCTCTGAGCTGGCAGTCAGCACAGAGCCCGACGCGGGGCTCGAACCCACGAACCGCGAGATCATGACCTAAGCGAAAGTCGGACGCCCAACCGACTAAGACACCCAGGCGCCCCGTGATCTGCATTTTTGTTTTGTTTTTTTATTTTTATTTTTTTTTTTTGAGAGAGAGAAACAGAGCATGAGTCAAGGAGGGGCAGAGAGAGAAAGAGGGAGACACAGAATTTGAAGCAGGCTCCAGGCTCTGAGCTGTCAGCACAGAGCCCGACAGGGGCTCAGACTCGGGAATGGCAAGATCATGACCTGAGCCAATGTCGGAAGCTTAACTGACTGAGCCACCCAGGCACCCCTGATCTGCATTTAAAATTTTTTTTTGATGTTTTATTTTATTTTTGAGAGAGAGACAGCATACCAGTGAGGGAGCATACAAGCTGGAGAAGGGCAGAGAGAGAGGGAGACAAAGAATCCAAAGCAGGCTCCAGGCTCTGAGCTGTCAGCACAGAGCCCGATGTGGGGCTTGAACTCATGAACCACAAGATATGATCGGAGCCCAAGTTGAATGCTTAGCGAACTGAGCCACCCAGGTGGCCCTATGATATCCATTTTTTTTTTTTTAAGGGGAAAAGGTCTGGGAGTGGAGGTATTGATGTTCCTGTTTCCCGCATGAGCTCTGATCTAAAATCTCTCCTGGCACCACACAGGTATGTGGTCTTGGAAAAGTCACTTTCCTGCTTTAGAACTCAAGTCTTTTCATTAGAGAAAGGAAAGATGTAGACAGATGAGCCAAGTTGTCATCTAAAACGGTGTGGGGTGCCTGGGTGGCTCAGTCGGTTAAGCACCTGCCTTCAGTTCAGGTCATGATCTCACAGTTTGTGGGTTCGAGCCCCGCGTCGGGCTCTGTGCTGACAGCCAGCTCGGAGCCTGGACCCTGTTTCAGATTCTGTGTCTCCCTCTCTCTCTGACCCTCCCTTGCTCACGCTTTCTCTCTCCCTCCCTCTCTCCCTCCCTCCCTTTCTCTCTCTCTCTCTCTCTTAGAAATAAATAAAAACATTAAGAAAAAATTTTTTAAGTGGTGAATCAGTCAGTACTGTATTAGTTGACTAGGGCTACTCTAATAAAATACCGCAGACTGGGTAGCTTAAACAGCAGACTTATTTCCTCATGTTACTAGACGCTGGAAATCCAAGATCAAGGTGTCAGCAGGTTTAGTTTCTCCTGAGACCTCTCTTCCTGTCTTGCAGATGCCTTTTTTCTCACTAGCCTCCCATGACCTTTCCTTTCTGTACCTGAGTTCTTCACGTCTCTTTGTGTGTCCAATTTCCTCTTCTTTTGTGAGTGTGTGCATTTATTTATTTACTTTTGAGAGAGAGAGAGACAGAGAGAGCACGCAGGAGGAGCAGAGAGAGAGGAAAAGAGAGGGAATGAAAGAATCCCAAGCAGACTCCACACTGTGAGCACAGAGCCTGATGTGGGGCTCGAACTCACCAACCATGAGATCATGACCTGAGGAGAAACTAAAAGTTGGAGGCTCAAGTGACTGAGCCACCCAGGTGCCCCACCCATTTCCTTTTCTTAGAAGGACACAAGTCAGATCGGATTAGGACCTACCCTAATGGCGTCATTTTAACTTAATCATTTCTTTGAAGGCCCCATCTTTAAATCTAGTCCCATTCAGAGATACTAGGGGTTAGAGCTTCGAAATAACGAATTGGGGGGAATACAGTTCAGCCCATAACAAGCTTCCAGAAAACCTTCACAATTATTAGAGGTCCATTGTGAAGCGCTGGTGGGGGTAAAGAAGGGGCAGTCTTGGGTGTCTCTAGCAGAGGTAGAACAGATATAGAGACAGTACCCTGAAGACAGCTGGTCGTTTCCCCACTTTTCCAGAAACAAGTTCTGAGATTATCTCTGGACTTCAGTAGAGTCCAAGTTAAAGTCACAGAATGCTAGCAATAAAGGAGACCTTCAAGTTATGCCCCTATATAATGTTAGAGGAAGTGGAGGGCTAGAGAGACTGCACTGTGTTTGTAACTAGGTCTCTTGATTTATAACCCAATTACATCTGCTCAGAGACAAATCAGCGTACATAACCATAGTTTCTGACCTCAGTGTTGCCGCACTCCACACCTCTGAGACACCCCAACTTAGGAGTGGTATGACATTTTTCCAGGCTCCAAGGAAGAGAGGCTATAATGGTACTTCACTGTGATGTGCTAAGAACATTCCAAAAATAGTGACATTCTGGGGCGCCTGGATGGCTCAGTCAGTTGAGCGTACGGCTTCGACTCAGGTCATGATCTCGCGATTCGTGGGTTTGAGCCCCGCGTCGGGCTCTGTGCTGACAGTTCAGAGCCTGGAGTCTGCTTCAGATTCAGTGTCTCCCTCTCTCTCTGACCCTCCCCTGTTCACATTGTCTGTCTTTCTCTCTCTCTCTCAGAAATAAATTTAAAAAATAGTGACATTCTGTAATCAAAAGCTTTGTGTCCACGGAGAGGCTTTTTCAACACTTTCTTCTTGCTCTCCCAAAGGAGGGCAGTTTTCTCACAATGAGTTATAGGATGAAGGGTAGTATATCTGTAAATTGGTGGAGTTTTTGTTTTTGTTTTTGTTTTTTGTATTTAAACAGGTGAAGAACAGCGAGAAACAATAATAGAAGTGATCCGTTTAATTCCAGAGTTAGCACTAGAAACTACGATTTTTGGTGTCTAATGCTTTTAGAAACCACCAGACTGTTGAAATGTTTTAAGAAATTACATCAAATTGCTATCATTTCTTTTTTGGAGTCTGTAAGTGGCTTGAGAGTCAGAGATGTGACCTGGAACTTTCTCTGGGTTAAGTGGAATAAAATTTGCAAATATTGATTGTATACTTTTAAGAAATTGTTTAGGGATGGCTGGGTGGCACAGTCGGTTAAGCATCTGACTTCTGCTCAGGTCACAATCACACAGCTCGTGAGTTTGAGCCCCGCATCTGGAGCCTGCTTCAGATTCTATGTCTGCCCCTCTCTCTGCCCCTTCCCACTCATTCTCTTTCTCTCTCTCAAAAATAAACACTAAAAGTTAAAAATTTTTTGAAGATCACGGGTAAATCAAATAAGAATAATATCTCTACCTGTGATAGGAAACGGTAGTTTACATAGTTCAACAGACATTTCAATTCGTCTTGGGAAAGAAATTCTGTGAGCATTGTATTGATGGTTCCCGTTTGTCTTACTCCCACGATAAAATACGTAACATGTACCCTTGTTAACCTACTGAGAGAAAGGCAGCCAGCTTTTCCCAGATCTGAAACAGGGACATCTGTGATTAAGGACTGGCTACTTATCATTATAAAATGAATTATCTGAATGCAAAAATAGAGAGATCTTTTAATATTGTGCCAGAACGATCTGCCCTTTTCATGGTATGTCTGCTGTTCCTGAGACAGAATATTTGCACCACAGACCCGCTGCCTATTTTCAGAGAGTTCCAGAATGATTTATTCATCCAGCAAATACGTAAGTGAGGCATCCTGTGCTCGCCACTAGCGACAGAGCAATGAATGACAACCACAGTGGCATGCTCCTGTCGTTGTAGTGAGAAAGACAGGCCCTCAGAAAAGAATTGCACTTTTGAAAGTGAATCTGCAAGTTGGGCTACGTTTTCCAAAAGAAAGGAATGTGCTTCTGGGAGATACAGGAGCAGGTGAGTAAGGAGCCTCCCCAGGCGGGCAGGCTTCCCTGGGAACCTCCTTGGGGGTTGGGAAATGGTGCGGGAGGGGGAGCTGAGCGGTGGTGGCAGGAGACAAGGGTCAGACAGAGGGAAGGGCACGTGCGTGCGTGAAGGAGGCATAATGGAAAACCACAGGTCAGGTGGGGAAGGAGAGGATTGGGGTTTTTGTGTGTTCTCTGTCCTTTTCTGGTGGGCCTTTGGGAAAAATCACCTCACTTCTTGGGGCCTCCTGCCCTTATTTGCCTGAATGAGAGAATCTGAGGTTACCTCAGAGTCCCTGAACTAGATTCTTCCATTCACACAGATTGCCCAAGCACCTACTGTGTACCAGGTAATCTGATCGGCCCTGCAATTCAAATTAACTGGGCCCTGGTCCCTGAATTAACTGGGACCATTGACCTCCCGCAGCCGGGATCCAGCAGCAGAGATCAGCAGAGGACATGGCCCATTGTGGTGCCGTGTTGTGGGCATCGCGGGAAGATGGCTGACAGGGGGATTAGCCCTGGGGGCTCCCCGGTGGGAGGAAGATGGCCATAGTCTGAAGGAGTTCACAGAGGAAGAGACGTTTCACCAGACAACAGGGGAAGTCGGCCTGGGCAGCGAGCAAGGGAGAAGACAACTCATGGAGACTGGAAATCCTCCCTGGGACAATGATGTGGGACCCGATTCCGTACCCTAAAGTACTGATAATGCAGGCGTGTCCTTTTGGGAATCTACGTGCACCCCGGTTTCCAGGGATGGGTTATGGAACTCCTTGCCTCTGATCTCCTCACTACACAGGCTGGGGAAGAATGCACATCGTTCCTGTGCTCTGGCTTGGTTCCCCATCTGTCAGAAAATGCCCTTTACACAGCAGGGCTCGAGCGACTTAATTATTGTTTGTGGGAAGTTCAGGTCAAGGATGAATTTCTGTTGCAAAACTGAAAGCACACAAGTGAGATGTTTTAAAATGAAGTGCAAGGGTTTTTTGTTTGTTTGTTTCATTTTGTTGTTGTAGGGAAGGATCTTAATGGCT